GGCGGGCGGGGGGGCCCAGGGAGCCGGTGTGATTCCCGGCTACCGGAAACACTGCCAGAAGTTACCTTCAAACGCGCGTTCAGGACAAGGAGGGGGGTTTTACAGCTGCTGCGGAGAGAGTTTGCAGTTCGGGAAATGGGCTTTGCCGTGGGAGATCTGTTCTCGGTCCTCTCCTCAAAGGCAGCCTCTTGCTCTGTAACCAGGAGCGTGTCCCTGGGACGTAAGTAAGATGTGTTCTTGGCTGTTCAATATGCGTCTGTAAAGATCTCACACTTGAGGATACGCACTGGCCATGTGGTTTGCGTTTCGAATGAATGACAGGAAAATCTTGGTTAAATTGTAACATGCTGAGTTGGTCCAAATATGCAAGAAGTGTTTTTTAGCTAGCCAGCAGCTGTCCTTGACCAGTAAGAATTCTTGCACTTTTCCTGATGTTAGCACCCAGTACGCGCTGCCAAACATTGCTCTGAGACCCCATCGTGTTATGGTGACCAGGGTTTGGCCTGAACTCTATGTTTATAAAATTGCTTTTGACAGTTTTCTCCATTTGGGACCTCACTCAGTATTGGAAGGAGAGGAATAATGATAAAATGAAATGGATGAGCAATTTTTTTTTTGTATTATAGTAATATTCCTTTCCACTTTAGACTATATCCATGACTTAACTAGGTAAAGTCAGTAAGGTAGCAACAGAAAGTTTTTGGTTTGCTCTGTTGCCTGTGTTAGCTGCTCCTGCTTTCCAGGGAGAAATTGTTGCAACTGAAGGAATGAGATTATGTTTTTGAAGGAGGTGAATGTAAGTAACGATATGTTGCACAAATGTTGCGATTTTTTTCCCTATACTATAGTTTTAATATGATGTAGTACAGGGTGTTTGATACCGCAACATACATGAAGTAAAACTGGCTACTGGTAGCCTCTGTTTAATTTTCTGCATTCTCTTTGTACTGTCTTGAAGAATGATCAGCAACTGGAGTACGAGCTGATGAGCTGAGTATGTGGTGTATTCGTTTTAGTACACAGTAAATTCCTGGGAAGCAGTTAGGTGGGCAGGAGTCCAGCTGCTATTTGCTGCTTACCAATGTGAGTCGATAAAGTCGAATAGATGAATTCTGTAATTACCTTGCAAGCTAAAGTGTATTGGCCAGATCTGGCAGGCTGCATTAGAGGATTTCCTGGAAAGATCAGTGTAGGGTATTTAAAGCTGGTTGTGTGCAGGTATTCCGTTTGGCTGGCAACACTTCATTGAATTTGTGTTACTTCTGGTTCTGGTACTTAAAAGAATGATAAGCAGTACAGCTGTGACTGTCCTTGGAGGTTAAAAATTGGTTTATAAATTCAGTTTTCTTTATGCACCTCTGTCAGCAGCATCTCTGCTTATTTCTAATATTGAAATTCAGATCTGAATGCCTTTAAAAATAGCTGTAGATGAAAGAGCTTGTTGTGTCAGCTGTCATCTTTTAAAGCACCATGTTCAGTGGAGCTCTGCATATATTTGCATCATTATTGACCTTGCACTGTTGTTAGTGATGGTGAAGTTCTTTGGAAAACTTCCTTAATGAAAATATGGTGCAAGAGGGAAGCTTGTGAAATTGGGACACCATTGTAACTGTGTCCTGAGAGCTGAGATCATGGCATAATGGCAGATACGTTCTTGGTGTTCCTCGTATACGGTATTTTTTGCCTTAAGGCTCCTGCCACAGCCTGTGAGAGAGCTGATCTGGCATTTTACAAAGTAACTAAATGTGCGTGTGTGCAAACAGCTGTGTTGAAACAGGCAAGATAAGAGTTGGCTATGGTAGGAGTAAGTGGCATGTGACAGGCGTTCCTTTGAGTAATATTGCTGCAGAAACTTCTCACCTGTCAAGGTGTGGTCTCAAAATAAATGTTTATATACATTTAAAGATGGGAGGGAATACAAATGAGCGCTTCTTGAGATTTTTTTTCAAATCTGGTTTTCCTGAGGAAGATGAGATTTCATATTTCTGTATCTGAAGAGGTGTCAGGAAGCATTTTTCTGTGATGGCCCTAAGCTCTGTCATTAATGTTATGCTGCTCAGGCACGCCTGAGCGTGCTAAATTGGAGACAGTCAAGGGAGGTGTGTCTTTTTAGAGCACTTAGTCACTCTCCTGTGATGGCTTCTTACGTGGAGGGGTGAAACGACGTATTTGTCTGTTTACCACTACCGATTATTTTTTTTTCCTAGCTGAATTTTAAATTGTGCTTTGGGAGATGTTCCACAGCCAAGGCTTTTAGTGTTGGAATCTGAGTTTAAAGAAGTAAGTGTGAAAAACGAAACCACTAAAATCTTCCTTAGTCTTATGTTTATATGTTACTGAATTGCTAGCTGTGGGCTGTCTAATTTTGAGAGCAGCGTATGCCAAAGAGATTCTTCTAAGGTTGCCAATATTATTATTAGGTATTGAGGTGCGAGCCCAGGCAGTAAACCTCGATGTGCTCTGGGCGAGTGGGGTGAGCACAAAGCATGTGACGGGAGTTTCTCCCATCTGTGGCATTTCCTCTTGACCTAAGCTCTCTCTTTCTAGGGACTGTTGCGTACCATAGCAGGGGACTGCTGTAGCTGTAAAAATTCTCATGTGCTTGCTGTGTAACCGTATGATCATCTTATGTTAGTCATAGATGAACTTTAAGCAGGTGTTTAGCTGACGTTTAACTGGTGATTTTTCAACTCCTAAATAGATAGGTTTGAATAACAGTCATTCCTGGACTAGAGCTCTTGCTTTGTCATCATGAAGCTCGTGACTCTCCGCCCTGCCAGAGCAGGCAGCCTGACTCGCGTGTTGTCCGCTTAGGTTGCAATCCTTGGGTTGCAGTTTGAACAAAGTGATTAAATAGATCGGAAACCTCAAACGTGAGAGCTTGGCCTTGGTTACTGTATGCTAAAGGGAGTAAGCTCACAATTTGTATTTGTTTCTGAAGGCATGTCTGTCTGTGGCATGCAGGATTCAGCATTAACTCCTGCATCTGTTTTTTTATCCTTTTAGGTTGGTTTTTTTTTCCATTGTGTTACATAGTGCTCTCCATAAATGTAAAATTTAGTTTGTGCTTGGAATTTTGCTTTATCAGTTTTGTTTTGCAGACAGTCTTCTGGTCAAGTGCAGTTATGTTACTGAGATTGAATATATTTTTCAAATTTGTTCCTGGAACAGTCTGTGTTTAAAAAAGAGTAGTTAGGTTAAAGTCTTCTAGCCAACTGCCTCCCTTCCCCCCAAAAAAACCCCAAATCAACCGCAGAAACGAACGAAGCCATGTGTCATTCGCTTCCTTAAATAATAATAAAAATTTGCAATACTTCAGGAATATGTTAATGCATAAGGTAGTATTAAATAGTGGAATAATTTTGTTATTCTAAAGTTAAATGTCTTGCTCTAGTCTAAGGGAAAGACTACCTTGCATGAAGCTTGCAATAACCTTTTTAGAGACAGTGTGGAACCTGGTAGGTTCTGTGGCTTTTAGATCAGTGGAGGAGGGACTCTTCCTCTGGCCGCAAGGAAGTTGCTTGTGGCTTACATATTTTTGTTAGTCTGGGTGGGCTTTTGTTTCTGCAAATATATGTAAAATGGTACATTCTCTGATTGAGGAAATTCTGAATAGAATCACAGAATTTTAGGGATTGGAAGGGACCTCTGTGGATCATCTAGTCCAACCCTCCTGCCGAAGCAGGGTCACCCAGAGCAGGCTGCACAGGACCTTGTCCAGGAGGGTCTTGAATATCTCCAGAGAAGGAGAATCCACAACCTCCCTGGGCAACCTGTGCCAGGGCTCCGTCACCCTCAGAGTGAAGAAGTTCTTCCTCATGTTCAGACGGAACTTCCTGTGCTTCAGTTTGTGCCCATTGCCCCTTGTCCTGTCGCTGGGCACCACTGAAAAGAGTCTGGCCCCATCCTC